CACTATCTAAAGAATCAATTCTGAAAATATTGTGCAAAGGCTTATAAGCACTTTAACAATGTAGTTAAAAGTGTATGATAATGAATCCATTTTGTCAATATAAATTATTCCAAGCCACTAACAACAAAATTTTCTATTTGATAATACTACCAAAGCAATTATTTTATATTTTCATTGCGGTAAAAATATGGTTCATATRTAAACATAAAAACTCATAAAAAACCAAAACATCCTTACGTAAAAAGCGTAAGTAAGCTTACTTTTTGCTCACCCCATTTTGACCAGTTTTCAAGTCTGTTTTTAGCTTATAGTCTTGATTTGTCCTAATATATAAAAAAATTTGGGGTTCCATTAAAGACATCAAAGGTAAATTTCTCTAAACCTGATATTGTAYTGGAATATCTGTGGTTCTCTCTCGTTTTTCATTAAGTAAAAGAGATTCAAAGCCTAAAACTGTCAGCCTTGGAAAATTCTGTCRAAAAAAATCTTACAAGAACAAAACTAGCCCCTGGGGGTGGTGGTGAGTTGTGTACAAAATTCCGAAGTGGGAGAGTATACTCGCTCAAAGAAAACGATGTAGTGCATTTCAATTCAATTTTTGTGCATGGTTTTTATCATGGGAGACATTATCTTCATCTCGAATAAAAAATATTGAAGACTTTTTCCCAGATTTTATTTTTACCTTTCAGATTCAATCAAATCGGGCTCCCTGTGACTTGCATATCGGAAGCTCCACTTTTAGGCAGTGCCTAAATATATATTATGTATTACCTAAAAGTCTAAGGGACACTTGTTATGATTTGGGGTAACTTTATGTCAAGAGGAATTGTTCTGTTTACTCATTAAGCTTGGGCATATGGTCCCATTTTAAAGCATGTCATGTCATGTGTCAGTAAGTACACTCACCTTTCTGGTTTCTCGTTTGGTTCCAGGACTTGGCATAGCATGTGAATAGAAATTAGAATTGATTTGGAGGTTTTTCGCAGTTTTTCAAGCTCCCTCTGCAAAACCAACATGCACAGTAACCTCTAACTCCATTTTTGAGTAACCATACCCTGACWTAGATCAGCCCAGTAGTACACTCACCTCTCACCTTTGGGACTTGGGCTCGACTTGGGTTCAAATTAAGCGTGCACTGACTTAGATCCACCCAGAGGTTGTTTAAGAGTTTGACATGTGAGKTAGCCGTRCCCTGACTTACACAAGGGCGGATCCAGGGGGAGGGTCAGGGGGGTCACAACCCCCCTGTCATTCCTGAGGTCAAATGGGCTTCCTGTGGTAAAAATGCGACTGGGATTCCTTTGCGAACAAAATTTACCCCTAAGACCCTTCCTTCAAAAAACCCTGGATCCGCCSTTGTTACATCAGCCCAGATGTTGTTTCAGGGTACCAATAAATTTTCAAGTATTTTTGTTTTCTTTGTAAGAAAAATATTTTAACATTGCAGCATTCTTGGGAATGAATTGACTGGTGATCGGATGTTGGTGTCTGCAACGCATGACAGATTTGAAGATTGAAATTTTGACACAATTGAAGATTTATAAGATGATCAAGAAATAACTAATGGAGATGGAAAAAAATACAAGCATTTCATTAAAGGATACGATAGGAAATAAAGGAAATAAAGATAATGGTTTGGGGGAAGACAAAACGAATAGAAACAATTCACCTGAAAGTAGAGTCCTAATAAAAGAAGAACCAAAAGAAGTTTTCTCTGAGCAGGCAAATAATGGTAGTGAGATTGATTTTAGTATGAATTTTGCGCTCAATAATCATTCAGAAGACTCTGAGTTGATATTGAATGTGATGCATGTAGACAGCAGTGACCTGCAAGTGATTGAAGACCTTGATACAGAAAATGTTACAAGAAATGATTACCGCCAAAAAAATGCAGAAATACCTCAAAATGCTAGCAACGAAGCTAAAATAGCTGAGCAGCAAGTCGTAAACAAAAACTTCATCTGTAACTTGTGCAATTTGCACGTGGAATCGGATGCGTTCTATGATCATCTTAAAACACATTGCAGTGAAAAGTCTTGCGTGTGTCCACTTTGTCAAAAGACGTTTAAAACGAAAAGGTCTCTCCTCAAACACGTTCAAAATCATGTGAAAAATTATAAGTTTGCAGTCAATGCCACTAACGAGTCAGAAAGTGATAGCAATGAAATAGAAGAGGATGAAGAATTTATCCTTGCCGGTTTGAAGTCAACGGACAGAAGGCAATGTAGGTACTGCAACAAGGTATTTAGACGCAGGGGCCACCTTGAGTGTCATGAACGTATCCATACAGGTGATAAACCATACAAGTGTATACACTGTGATAAAGCATTTGCAAGAAAGGATGGACTTCGCTTGCATGAACATGTCCATTCAGGTGTCAGACCATACAAATGCAAACAATGTGACAAAGCATTTCCAAGACAAAGTTCACTAACGGAACATGAACGTATTCATACAGGGTTAAGGACGTATAAATGTAAACAGTGTAACAAGGCATTTTTAACTGATTCCCATATGCGAATACATGAACGTACACATACCGGGGRAAAACCTTACAACTGTGCACGATGCAACATGTCATTTGCACGAAAAACTGATTTAAAGAGACATGAAGTTAGTCACACAGGAGCCAAACCATACAGATGTATCTACTGTGATAAATGTTTTACTCGACAAAATGATGTAAAGAGACATGAGCTGATTCATACAGGTGCCGATAAACCATACAAGTGTGATGACTGCGGCAATGCATTTACAGATGATGCTAACCTCAAGAGCCATGAATGTGGTGCTACAACTATCAAACCCCACAGTTGTAAACACTGTAATAGGGGATTTACACGGCGTAGTGATCTAAAAAGACATGAACAGACTCATGCGGGGATCAAACCGTTCAAATGCAAGTACTGTGATAAGGCATTCACTCGGCAAAATGATGTAAAAAGACATGAAATTATCCATTCAGGGTTTAAACCTTACAAATGTAAGTACTGTGACAAGGCCTACACTCGACGTAGCTATGTCATGGAACATGAAAGTGTTCACACAGAAGTCGACTCATGAAAAACATTATTCGCGATATTATTCGGAATATCATCGGCATTCGGGTTATATTCGTGAAGCCTTCAGTGTACGTGATGTCATAATTATTCATAATTTCGCCAGTATTTTAGGTGCCATCAGTATTCGTGATGTCATCAGTATTTATGATGTCATCAGTGTTCATGATGTCGCATATTTGTAATCATCAATTTTCGATCCCTGCCGTCAAAGCCCCCCTTTAATCTCTCCACTGAGTGAGAGAAAAAAGGAAAACTTCGCAGAAGTTGTGTWGTGTTTTATTTAAGCAAGTAAGGCGGTTACTAAGGGACTACCTCTTAACTAAACCCAATCCTAGCTTATCCACTTTTATTAACGGTTGAGTTGTTTCTACCAATTAAGAAATGTTTTACAGCTACATCCCTAGATAAAAGTTCTTTGTAGACTCTATTATTGCACAAATGAAGGCAAGTGAATCATTCTACCATAATACGTGGGTATTTTGACAAAAAAAACAAAAGTTTTTCCAGTAAGCTTGGTCGAGTGGTYAAAGCGTCCGTCTCACGATCCGGTTCGAGTCCCGCTGTGTAGCTGAGACTCTATCTGTCCTGATTTCTGATTCAAATTCAGTTTCTCGACCATGCTTGTTAAAAGCCAGGCGCGTAGCGGGGGGAGGGGCCAGGGGGCCTGGGCCCCCCAATAATTTCACAAGTTTTTTTTTTTAAAGTAAACGTCCAGCTAAATTTCAAACACTATTATCTTAAAATTGATAGAGGCGACTCATTTTTCCAAAAAAAGTTCACATAGTTGGCATTTTTGTAAATGTTGAAAACTCAAAACAARACATGCGGAAAAGTACATACTTGAAAGAAACCATTCAAATGCTTCAYATAATTTGCATTTAGGCCCTGGCTAAACGAGGAAACATGTTTCCCACGCGCATGTTCCCCGATGATTCCAAGTTTAGCCWTGTGCGAAACATTGCTGCGTGCAACAAATTTTGCTTCCAAGACGCAAAAATGTTTCTGCTGTGCGGCAGAAACATTTCATGCTTCCAAGACGCATGAAAACAATGTTTCCCAATGTTTAGACACGAAAGTCGATATTCTAAAAGTTCGTTAATTAGCCACGCTAGGTCTATCTTGAAAGTGCGCATGCGCTAACCGATATTGAGCAAACATGTTTCCCGATGTTTCCTGACAGTTTTGCCACCTTTGGGAAAATTTAAGGAAACATGTTTCCTCGTTTAGCCAGGGCCTTGGAAATTCTTGTCTGAACATTTTCGATTTCATTCTCGGCTTCTTTTATTAAATCAACTCAGACTTAATTAAAGGTAACTCGTTCTTTTTATTCAAAGTCAGCTGCGTGCTTCATATACATATGTTGAATTTCTATTTTTTGCTTGTACATACACTGACGTGATATTATTGAATAGATGTTCGATGTTGAAGGTCTTTTGCCCATAAAATAAAGAATTTTAATTATTAATTATGTTGTTTTGTAAATTTGATAAAAGTTGATACCGTCATATGGGGCGTGGCAAAACGAGCCCCCCAAATACTYTTACCCCTGCTACGGGCCTGAAAGCCAACTGGTTTGCCTACTTGCCAGTTGGTATTCTTAACACAATTTGTTTCTTTGATTATTTCTTCATTTCAGTTTATCAATTTGTAAACTACCAGTAAGCTAAGTGTACTTTCCACGTTAAATAAATAAGGTTAATTCAGCGGTTTAAAATTGTKACTTTTATAGACTACAGCGCATGCTCTTCCTGAAAATTTTATCTTGTCATTTCAGACAGACTTGTGCAAACTGTAATATTTTCCTCGGAAACGACGAATTTAAGTGAAGGACATAAATAATCGAATAAATATTATGTATGGTCGATTTGAGTTGTATTTTGAATGAGTGAATAAAGGAAAGAAAAACGCGAATCAAAGACAGGTTTTGCCTTTCGAAAATTCATGTATTTTGGTATTTGAAGCCAGGGAAATTATTTGAATTATTTTGTTCTGGTTCAGGGGCGTAACCAGGGGTGCACATGCMATGGAAACGGATGTCTAAAACTAACAGCCATCTTGAGAAATGCTATGACATTCTAAGTATTTGCAGGAAAAAAGGAAGAGAACTAAAATAGGGGAAAGGGGATGGGTTGCTATAGAATGATGCGAAAAATTCTGTGAAAACAAAAAAAAAACAAATAGATTCTTAAGACATAGAAGCCGTAATGTAGAAGGCTTCTTATCAGTTTCTCGCTTCAAACTGAAGAACAGGGGTAAGTAAGCGTAGATTTAATATTCAAGAAAGTGAGAAATTTTCATCCGTTTTGAAACACTGCCAAAAATTTTGAAAATAAATCACCATTTAATGTTTGAATTTGCAAAAAAGAAGGGCTTTGTTGATTCCCACGTACTCATCTTAAAACGCTTAGATGCGACAGTCACTGATGACTGCCACCTGAACAAGGTCCATTATGTTTCGTTTGATTTTGATTTTTCGTTACAAATTAAAGATTAAATTAGAAATGTATGAACGAATTATATAATCCAGTGAAAGGTTTTCGCTTTTTCCGTAGTGAACGACATCTTCACTTTGACTATATTATCATTTATTATAATTCATACATTAGAATTTCCCTCTTCCCAGCATTATTTCTTGAAACATTTAATTTTAATTATATTAAATATAAAAGTTAAGTAGTATTTTCTAAAGACAATGTGGGATATCCAAGATGTAACTAGTGTTTTGTATACACCTATTTCTAAAAACGTTGATAGGAGATCTGAAATCAAAAGTTCGCAAATTCCCCTCAAGTTTCCTTCCTTTTATTCCTCRGCAAGTTGTGGCTTCACTTTGGGTCGTCAATAAGTTAAGGTGATAACATTAGGTAAATTTGTTGATAAACGAACCTCGAAACTAGCAGGAATCGAACCCAAGGCCTTTAGCTTACCTACACCACACTTTATACCACTTCATACTTCATTTATTGTATACAGCCAACTCYCTTTACCGCGGACACCCTCGGGACCGCCACTTCATGTCCGTAATAGCGAGCGTCCGCAATAGCGAAAGTTATTTACAGTCATTTCTTTGTTAGTATTTTTGTCGGGGATTTTTCTCCTGTCCGTAATAACAAGGTGTCCGTAATATCGAGGTGCCCGCAAAGCGAGAGTTGACTGTACTATGCCAGCGGTGTGCCGTAGTATTTTTTTCTTGTTTGTTTGTTGGTTTTCATTGCGTGTTCGATTTGTCAGAGCTTATTCAAAATGCCTATATCTAACGCGTGAGATATAACGAGAACCAAAAAGGAAAGCCACATTTGTGAACAATATAAAGGGATTTATCGCTTGAACGTAAGATTATTTTCTTTCAAATATATATATGCGATGTGCATGAGAAAATACTGTACGACACGTAAGCTTACCTTTCGTCATGTTGTGCAGTGATTTTCGATTTATAATAGCGATCACTCATGCTTATGTTAAGGGATGGACCGCTCTCGGTAGAGCTACTCGGGATCTTTATTC